CATCATTGAGTGCTACCTTTGGTTTGTCTCCAGCTTTGCCACTATTTCTGTTCCACTGACCTGACAAAAGGTGAGAAGTCAGCTATGGTCAAGTGGAATGACAAGGTTGAAGAGGCCTCTCTGGAAATTAAAACAGCTTTATTCCAGTATCCAATACTGGTTGCTCCAGACTTCTTTAACCACTTGCCTGCCGGGCACTTTTACCCCCCTTCCTACCCAGACCAATTTTCAGCTTTCATTTCTCTCATACTTTGAATGACAATTGCGCTGTCATCCAACACTGTACCCAAACTAAATTTTTATAATTTTTGAGACAAATAGAGATTTCTTTTGGTGGTATTTGATCACCACTGGGGTTTTTATTTTTTAGCTAAACAAACTGAAAAAGACCCCAATTTTTTTTTTTTAAAGTTTTCCTTAGGCTGGCCATACATTATACAATTATCTGGAGATTTTTGGTTTAGATTTACCAAAAACCATATAATAGGAGGACAAACCTAAACAACACACTTTCAGTTGTATCCAGTTAGGCAGGCCCTTGCACTACACAGTTGAAGGTAAATCTAAAGGAAATTGGGCAGAAAATTGGAAGATAATTGTATAATGTATGGCCAGCCTTAGTTTCTGTTATAAAGTTTTGTAAATAATTAATTTTCTCCTTCATTGATGGGCACTGATAGGCTGCACTGATGGGCACTGATGGGCAGCACTGATGGGTGACACTGATGGAAAGCACTGATGGTCACTGTTAGGCGGCACTGATGGGCGCTGCCAGGTGGCACTAATGAGCACTGTTAGGTGGCACTGATGAGCACTGTTAGGCGGCACTGATGGGTGACACTGATGGACAGCACTGATTGGGCACTGTTAGGCAGCACTGATGGGCACTGTTAGGCAGCACTGATGGGCACTGTCAGGTGGCACTGATGAGCACTGTTAAGCGGCACTGATGGTCACTGTTAGGCAGCACTGATGGGTATTGATAGGGAGCACTGATGGGCAACACAATGGATGGGCAATATTGCCTATATATATATATATAGTATATATGTTTATTATTATATGCTGGTTGCAGTAGTTCCTCTGCTCCCAATTACTTTGATTAGATTACTGGTTAATTTCCCAAGAAGGGAATCCCCACTGTTCACAGATGCCCTGTCCTGGGTGGACATGTGGATAACTTTATTATCAAACCCACTCTTCCACTTATTGAAGGTTCCGGTTCTCTTATTTACCTATAGGTGTAGCACAGTATCCTGTTTGGGGAGGGTCATCTGTCATAACCATCCCAAAATAGGGCTACACTATATTTGTTGATTTCTTTTTGTGTTGTTTATGATTTTTCTGATGTATTTGATTGGTATCTTTGTAATGCCACTTTTTATTGTACTTGTCTTTATTTTTTTTTTTCCTAAGGTAGCAAAAATTGGGTAATGAGAGACCATTTTTGGCATAAGAACAGGTCTAGGAGAGTTTAAAATAATAAACTGCAGCACTAATAAGTCATATAACATACATAGTGAAAATGTCACTATTCATGATGAAAGTGCATAAATGACAAATTCTATATGTAAATTATTTGTGTAAATAAAAAAAGAAACCACAAAGCAAATCCAGAGTGAAAAGTCCTTCAAAGTTCACAAATAGAGGATAAACAGAAAAGTGCTAAAGAAATACACTCATTGGCCACTTTATTATGTACACACCTTGCTAGTGCCAGAAAATATCCCCCATGCCATTACACCATCAGAATGAACTGTTGATACAAGGCATGATGGATCCATGCTTTCACGTTGTTTATGCCAATTCTGACCCTATCATCTGAATGTTGCAGCAACCAGTCTTCCCATTCTCCTTTGACCTCTGACATCAACAAGGCATTTTCATCCACACAACTGCCGATCAATGGATATTTTCTCTTTTTCAGACTATTCCCTGTAAACCCTAGATAGGATTGTGCATGAACATTGCAGTAGATAAGCAGTTTTTGAAATACCCAGACCAGCCCGTCTGGCACCCCGACAACCATGCCACATTCAAAATCACTTAAATCCCCTTTCTTCCTCATTCTGATGCTTGGTTTGAACTTAAGCAAGTTGCCTTCACCACGTGTAATTATAGACCTATTAGTTTAACTTCTATAGTTGGGAAGATACTGGAGAGTTTAATAAAAAGACCACATAGATGAGCTCTTGCTGGAAAAAATATTTTAAAACAGACAGAATGGATTCATGAAAGACAGAAGTCGTCAAACAAATCTGATTTCTTTTTATGAGGAGGTGAGCAAAACCTTGGACAGAGGGGTGGCGGTGGACGTGGTATACTTGGATTTTGCAAAAGCGTTTGACACAGTTCCCCACACACGGCTAATGTGTAAGGTAAAGTCTACAGGCTTGAAAAAATCCATATGTAAATGAATAGAAAACTGGCTAAAAGATCGTATTCAAAGAGTAGTGGTTAATGATTCATACTCTGAATGGTCTAGGGTCATCAGTGGTGTACCCCAAGGTTCAGTGTTGGGACCCTTACTTTTTAATATATTTATAAATGATATAGGGTCTGGCATTAAAAATCCCATTTCAGTCTTTGCAGATGACACCAAGCTGTGCAGTGGCATAACATCCTTACAGGATGTCTTCAATTTACAAGCTGACCTCAATGCACTGTTTAATTGGGCAACTATGTGGTAAATGAGGTTTAATGTTGATAAAATGTAAGGTTATGCACTTGGGGGCTAAGAATATGCATGCACCATACATACTAGGGGGGCACAACTGAGGGAATCAATGGTGGAAAAGGATCTAGGAGTTCTGGTAGATCACAAGCTTAATAATGGCATGCAATGCCAAGCTGCAGTTTCTAAAGCGAGCAAAATCCTCTCTTGTATTAAAAGAGGTATAGACTCCAGAGAGAGATTGCATTTTACCCCTGTACAAATCATTAGTAAGACCTCATCTGGAATATGCAGTTCAGTTTTGGGCACCAATTCACAAACAGAACATTGGGGAACTGTAGAAAGTACAGAGAAGGGCAACCAAACTGATACGGGGAATGGAGAAGCTCAGCTATGAGGAAAGATTAGAGGAACTGAATGTATTCTCTCTTGAGAAGAGGAGATTAAGGGGGGATATGATCAACATGTAAATACATCAGTGGTCCATATAGTGAACTCAGTGTAGAGTTATTCGCTGTGAGATCATCACAAAGGACAAGGGGGAACTCTTTACGTCTGGAGGAAAATAAATTTAATCTCCAAACATGGAAAGGATTCTTCACAGTGAGAGCTGTGAAAATGTAAAATAGACTCCCTCAAGAGTTGGTTCTGGACAGCTCAGTAGATTGCTTTAAAGAAGGCCTGGATTCTTTCTTAGATACAGGGAATCCAGGGAATATCCAATTGCCTCTTGGGGGATCAGGAAGGAATTTTTTTCTCTGCAGGAGCAAATTGAATCATGCTTTTCTGGGGGGGGGGGGGGGGTTTGCCTTCCTCTGGATCAACTGTGGGTATAGGATTATAACTTTTTTTTTTTAATGGTTGAACTGGATGGACTTTTGTCTTTTTTTAGCCAGACTTAACTATGTAACATATGCATGCCAAATTGCATTGAGTTTGCTGCCATGTGATATGCAATTTATGTTATCAAGCAATTGAACCGGTGTACCTAATAAAGTGGCCAGTGAATTTATTTTAAAAAAAAAAAGAAAAAAATCTTGACCACATCAATACTGGACACTTTCACCCCCTTCCTGCCCAGGCCATTTTCAGCTTTCAGCATTCTCATACTTTGAATGACAATTGCTCAGTCATGCACACTGTACCCTTATGAAATTGCTCTCTTTTGATGGTATTTAATCACCACTGGGTTTTTTATTAAAAAAATAAAAAAATATTTTAAAAAAAAAAAGTGTTTTTTCTTAGTTTCTGTTATAAAATTTTGCAAATAAGTAATTTTTCTTCCTAAATTTTGACCAAAATTAAAACTGCTACATTTCTTGGGTAAAAATAACCTAGATCAGATTATTTGGTCTGTGTGAAGAGTCTATAGGCTATGGTGCCTATAATTGAAACTTTATCAATCCTAATGTACTGACTGCCTATCTCATTTCTTGAAGTCGTAATATGCCAGGATAGTACAAATATCTCCCAAATGACCCCTTTTTGGAAAGTAGACATTCCAAGGTATTTAGTAAGAGGCATGGTGAGTTTTTTGAATGTGTACGTTTTCCCCCACAATTCTTTGGAAAATAAAGTAAATACATTTCTTTTTCCCAAAAATGTCATATCAACAAGTTATTTTTCGCACACAACATAGACATACTTGCAGCTACACGCCAAAACACATTCTGCTGCTCCTCTTGAGTATGGCGATACCACATATGTGAGAGTTTTTCACAGCTTAGCCACATAGAGAGGCCCAACTTCCAAGGAGCATCTTCAGGCATTATTCACTTTAAGGCTAGGCCTTCTTTTGACACTTTTTGTTTACACGTAAAAATCAGTATTTTTGCTAACAAATTACTTAGAACCTCTAACATTATATCTATCTATATATATATATAATATATATATATATATAATATATATATATATACTGTATATATCTATCTATATATATATACTGTATATATATCTATCTATATATATATTATTTTTATTTATTTATTTTTTTTTTTGTAGCAGGCGCCCTAGAGAAAAAAATGGTGGATTTTGACATTTTTTTGACACGTTAATGAATTTCAATGCACACAAACATAATACAATACCCAATTTTTTTGTAAAATATAAAATATGGTGTTGCACTGAGTAAATAGATACCATACATGGGTCCTTTTTTGAAATTGTGCACGCTTATGGAATTGTGCACAGTTATGGAATTGTGCCAAACTACAGTATTTAACCACCTTCCACCCGCCATATAGTACAATGATGGGCGCAAGGTGGTTCTCTCATTCTGATAGGACGTCATATGATGTCCTTCCATTCTCTCCGTGCATGCGCGGCTCAGGGAGCGCTCAGCTCGGCAATCGCCGGTGCGTTGTGTCCCTCGGACACAGCGGATCACGGAAAGAGCCAAAGATGTCGGCTTGGTCATGTGATCAGCTGTGTCCAATCACAGCTGATCACATGTAAACACGGAAATGCCGGTTATCGGCATTTCTCTCCTCTCGAGCTGTCACGCTGACAGCTCGAGAGGAGAGGAGAGACGGTAATCAGCTTTCCGCAGAGGGGACATGTACACTGATCATCAGAGCACTGATGATCAGTGTGCCCTGATGATCAGTGTGGCCCCAGAAGTGCCACCTGTCAGTGTCCATCAGTGCCAGCAGTCAGTGCTCATCAGTGCCACGTGCCAGTGCCCATCAGTTCCACATATCAGTGCATACCAGTGCACATCAATGCCACATATCAGTGCCCATCTGAGCTGCCTTTCAATGTCACCCATCAGTGCCAGTTAGTGCCACATATCAATGCCAATCAGTGCCACCTATCAGTGCTGCCAATCAGTGCCACTTATCAGTGCCAGTCAGTGCCACCTATCAGTGCCAGTCAGTGCCGCCTAACAGTGCCATTCAGTGCTGCCCAGCAGTGCCAGTCAGTGCCGCCTATCAGTGCCATATATCAGTGTCATGTATCAGTGCTGCCTTTCAGTGCCCATCAGCGATGCCTGTCAATGCCCATCAGTGCAACCTACCAGTACCTCCTCATCAGTGCCCATCAGTGCCACCTATCAGTTTCCATCAGTGCAGCCTACCAGTGCCGATCACTGCAGCCTCATTAGCGCACATCAGTGAAGGAGAAAAATCATGTATTTACAAAATTGTATAACAAAAAAAAAAAAAAAACATTTTTTTTTTCAAAATTTTCAGTGGTTTTTGGTTTGTTTAAGAAAAAATAAAAATCCCAGAGGTGATTAAATACCACCAAAAGAAAGCTCTATCTGTCTAAAAAAAATTATAAGATTTTCATATGGGTACAGTGTTGCATGACTGCGCAATTGTCATTCAAAATGTGACAGCACTGAAAGCTGGAAATTGGCCTGGGCAGGAAGGGGGTATAAGTGCCCTGTAGGCTAGTGGTTAAAAAGCTCCATAGGTGACACTTTATAAGCCTTTACAGGTCACCAGATTAGAGTTACAGAGGAGGTCTGGTGCTAGAATTATTGCTCTAAAATTCCCGGCAATACACCACATGTGGTGCGATCGCCATTTAGGTATGCATATGAGACCAATGCGTGCATTTGCCTTTGCACCCGAGCACAGGGGTACAGGGTGCTTTACATTTTTTTTTACACTGTTTCTTTAAATTTTTACTTGCAACATTTGTATTCAAACTTTTCAGCAAATAGAAGTAATTACAAAAAGATCCACAACAGATCAGGTAATAAAAAGTAATTGACAATCAGTAGAAAACTACAGAAGGGGAACCACAGGTACATATAGCTCAAGGCTTACATATGAAATCCCCAAACATGAATAGGAACCCAGCAGAAAAAAATATTATATAGGGTTATGTCTACAAACATATGTCAATGTAAGAGAGAGATGTTAGGGTCTTTAGACCTAGATCCCAGAATAATGCCTTTAGCATACCCAACCTCCAATATTGAGAATGGCCCTGACCATCATCTATAGCAGACCATTATGTCTGCAGCATGTCTGTAACTAAAAGTATGGCCAAAATTTATGAAGAAAGATTATTTATTTGCAAAAAAAAAGAGAGAAAAGGGGTAGAAAAAGAACAGAAAAAAGTAGTCGATAGTTTGAGACAGGTAAGTATCAGTCATCGAGAGGAGAAGCCACCTGAGGTATAGAAAGAGCAATCATAGTGGAACATTTATGTAATGTGCCCAGGGTTCCCAAATACTTTCAAACTCTGGGACTCTGTCAAGTAGAATACTCGATAAGTGTTCTTGGAGCATTATCCAGGAAATCTTTTTCTTTGCTGCTGCAAAGGATACAGAAGTTTGTTTCCATGCACGTGCTATGGTGATCTTGGCACCCAAAAGTGCAAAAAAGACAAACGACTGCATAAGAATTTTGACGTTGGTCTCAATTAAAGAGACGTTCAGAATTCCTTTGAAGGAACAGAAGAAACATTGGTGCCATACATCTACATCCCATTCATCTGCTAGGTCCTGTTCCCATTCCAACACATATTTAGGTTTCTCTACAGCATCGGATAAAGATTCATAAATTGTAAAAATACTGTACCTCCTCTCTGATCCGTGATCCATGTACATCACTGCTCATAGGCTGTGAACCTTGGAGGTTCCAGTTTGGTAGTCCATATGAAATGCAAAAAAGGTTCTGGATAATGAGTCCCCCCTGACAGCGGAGCCAAAATAATATGTGTTTGGGATTGGCAACGACCGAAACAGATATTAAAATCCATGGCAAAAGAGTAATTTTTTGGGCATTATTGTGGCCCAACTAGGACAGATAACATTTTTCCCATTGTGCTAAATCTTCTCTTAATTTTTTTGTAAATTGGGGAATAGTTATTTTTATATAAATGGCCAATGCTGGAAGTCAAATGGATACCCAAGTACAAAATGTAGGAGAAAGGATTGTAGGAGTAAAAGGAAAATGTTCCTGTAGATGTTCGACTGACACCATTTAGGGTGACATTTAGGGCAACAGGTTTGGACATGTTAACCTGAAGACCTGAGATCTTACCAAAATCTCACAGTAATATAAGAATGTTGGGCATTCTGATGAATGTTGAAGTCACAAAAAGAAGATCATCCACAAACAAGGCTCATTTATGAGTTTGAAGCCCACAACGGACTCCATGAATATCTGGATGATTTCTGATCACTATGGCCAGGGTTTCTATCACTATTGCAAATAGTAATGATGAGAAGGGACAACCTTGTTCAGTCCCCTTGGGTATTTGGATGGAATCTGAATAGTGACCCTGTAATCTTTCTTGGGCAGATGGATTGGAATAAAGGGCATGTAAAATTCCCTGGAAATGGAGGACAAAGCCCCATTTGTCAGGGACCAAAAATAAATATGGCCATGCCACTGTATCAAAAACGTTCTGGAGATCAAAAGATAACAAGAAGCCTTCCTGAGGAGCTCCACCATCCCATTGCGATTGCAAAATAGATATAACATCAATTGCTCTCCAAATCTGATCCATCCCATTTGCCCAGGATAAACACCACCTGGTTTTTATGCACATACAATTCTATGAAGGACGACAACCTTTTCGCAAGAATTTTGGTCAAAATTTGTAAGTCATTATTTATGAGGGAGATTGGTCTATAATTGCTAACTTCACTATGGTCCTTACCCAGTTTAGGAATAACCTAAATGTATGATAGATTAGAACCTGCATCCAGGGGGTCACCATTCCAGAGAGAGTTAAAGAAATGCGTCATATAGGGGGAAGAGTGTTGTCGCAAAAATTTTGTAATAACAATGCGAGAATCCATCAGGCCCTAGGGTGGAGCCCTTCTTTAGGTGTTTGATGACATCCAAGACCTCCAGTTCAGAAATAGGGTGTTCAAGTCTGGAGTGATGCCGCTCAGCAATTTTGGAAAGAGGAATCCCTAGCGAGAAATCATCTAAGTGTGATTGAAGAATTGGATCCTCTGCTGTATACGTATAGCTGAGAGTAGAAGTTGTGGAAAGTTTCCATAATTTGTTGCAGGTTTTGAGTGATGGAGCCTGAGAGAGGGCAAATTCTGGGGAAGGAGAAGGAATGATACTTGGGAGACAAACGGGTCACCAGCATGGAACCAATCCCATCTTTTTGACAGCAGAAGTGCTCTTCAGTCCATCGTACATTTTTTTCCACTTCTGTAGTCAAAGTTAAACTCAATGTCAAGCATGCTGAATCCAGCTTAGCCTGGAACTCAGGTGTAGGATTGTTTTTTGTGACCCTTACTCAGAAGATGAAAGTCTTTTCCCAATTTAGCCAAGTCAGCCTGATGCTCTTGTTTTCGCTGAGAGGCTAGTTGGAGGAGTTTACCTCTAATTACCATTTTATGTACAGCCCATAGTACCACAGGGTAGACCTCACCAGTGTCATTTGTAAGAATAAATTATTTCAACTCTTTCTCCAGAATGGTACATTGAACGGTGTCACTACGTAGAAATTCATTGAGGCACCAATGGAAAGGTCCCCTAGGGCCACAGGGGTGTTGTATGATCAAAAGGACCATGGAATGATCTGAACATACTGTATCCCAAATAAGGGATTTGGACATTGGAATGTCCAAGGTTGAGATGAAGAAGTGATATATTCTGGCAAAGGCCTGATGAGGGGATGAAAAGTGCGTGAAGTTTCTGTCCATTGGATTAAGCTCCCGCCAAATGTCCACCAGCCTGTTGAAGTAAGAGTTTTGCAAAATTAAGGCTTTGTTTAGTGGGCCGTGAGATTTCCCATACACGCTCTTATGGCATTGATCTAAGGTAAATTAGAATCTTCCCCCGACACAACTCTTCCCTCACACAGAAAAATAAATTTTGTAGCATGGAAGTCAAAAAATGTATCTGATCCCAATTTGGAGCATAATAGGAAATTAATGTATACAGATTCCCATCCAGGGACCCTGACAAGAGAATATATCTTATGTCACTGCAAATAAAGTGACATAAGATCATTATATAACTAGCGCTGCATTTTATTCATTTACATCATAAAAATGCCTTTATTTGTGCAAGCTGTTTTTATTTATTTAGTTTTGTTGTTTAAAATCTAAGCGCAAGTGTTAATTCATAAGAGAAGATTTCTGCCCTCAGGGTCTCTGATTATCCATGACGGAGTAAAGGTGAAGAATATACAGTAGCTACTCCCCCTAGTTTTATCGTCAGCATTAGCTAAGTAAAAATTTTGGAATTTTTGGTGGATAAAAGGACTATAACTTTTAGGAAAGTGAGTTTCTTGAAGTGGGAGAACGTCAATCTTTTGTGAATGATAGTGCTAAAAAACTTTACACCGTTTCACATGGTAGTTTAGTCCCTGAGTATTATGAGAGACAATTCGGAGAGGAGAAACAACCAGATCTTTTGTACTCATGGAAAGGAGAGGAGGAAAGCTATGCAAAACAACAAATACCTACCTCAAATGCATATAGTTGAGTCAGTGTGGACCATGAATGAGAGGAGAAATTGCCCATAAGCTGGATGTGGCTTGCTGATGACTGCCTCTCGATGACTGAAAAAGAAGAAATTCAGAAAAAAGAGAGGGAAAAGATAAAGCAGGAAAAGAGAAGAAACAGAAGAAAAAAATCACCCAAACCATATCAACAAATATCCCCAACCAGTAGGAGTGGACCAGCCTATCTCTTTGAAAGCATCTGAACAAAATAATGGCCATCATAGAGGTGACACCTGTCACCACAAGATGAAAACTCCATGTTGCTGCGGCAGGTGGGGGAGCATAGATTCTGCTTTGGCCTACAAAACACCATTTTAACAAGTTCCCAGACAAAATC